TGGATGGCTGGTCAAAGGATTGGTAGTCATACTGGTAGTACTCATTGTGGGATGATGGATCTTGATGGTAGTGTTGATGTTCCCACGATGCAGGGTGAAGTGTGGCTGGTTCATGGCTGGGTTCATCACGTCCTAGATCATCATTGTCTGGTAGTACTTCTCATCGACGTGGAGAGGCTGAACGCAAGGTGACAGATGTAGCTCTGCTTGGACGTCTTGATGGGTCCCTCGAAGTAGAATGTCGTCTCCTGTGTGACGAATGTGGTCGAGAGGAACGATGTGTTCGTCTGGGTGATGTGGCTCGACGCGGACTTCGTGGAACAGAGATTGGACGTTTGTCCGGTGCCCCACGGTGCCGGTGGGAGCGAGAGCGAGAGCGACGGTAAGTATGTTGTGGTGGTGGTGGAACTTCATCTGGTGGAGGAGGATGACTTGGAATAGGTGGAGAGGCTTGAATTGGTGGTTGAGCGGGAACAGGAGGTTGGCTCATGTTGCGCTCTTGGTTCTTGTCCACAAACGCTTGCATGCTGGATTCAACCGTGTTCTTCATCTGTTGCATCATCTCTTCTGCATTGAAGGATACACTGGATCCCGGTGGTGTGGATTGAGGTGCCACCGGTGTTGGTGGTTCAGGCACTGACGTTGTGGACTGAGGTGGAGGTGGATTGAACGTGGATTGGTGGAATGGAAGAAGCTGTTGGAGGTGCTGGATATGGGATTGAGCCTGTGACGCAAGTTGTTGATTCAGGATGGTATTTTGCTCTCTGAGAGCCGCCAGTTGTGCCTGAGTCTGAGCTTGAGACTGAGCCTGTGACTGTTGGTTCATTAGATCACCACCACAAAATTGACCTTGAAGTCCCATCGTTTGTGGGTTCCAGAAGGTCCACATGTTGTCGGGAACGGCAGGATACCGTCCAGGAAACATGGCAGCACTGTCAGGTTTGTGAACTGCAAAATTAGTTCAAAAAGAAAAGATGCATCCACAACGCATGCAAAATTCGTGATAAGGCTCAAAGGCCCTCGGCATTCATTTCACGACCCTCTGGACAGCTTACGTGTTCAACCCCTGAATTACGTGCACAATTTCAACCTCACCGAGAAACCAAAAAGAAGTGACCACACCTGAAAAGCATGTCCTGAAGCCTCCACATGGTTCCATGTCATGTTGCAAACTGTCGAGCTCCGTACTCTCTTGGGCAAAGTTGGAAAAGGGAGTGCTGTTGTGGCTTCCAGCTATGCATATCGGTAGAAAAGAAAGGCGGTGCCAGGCACAGCAGCCAGCAGTTTCAACAATCACTCGACCGACGTGTGAAACAATTAAAAATGGCCAGCAGTTCATTTACTTAGACGAATTACTAATTCAAAAGTGTAAATTCAGACATCGTTTTACCGTCAATTTTTAGCCTAGAAAGGCTTTCCCCGAATGGCTCATACCACCTTGTCGGACAACGGTATGAGTGACACACTTGCTCAGAAACATCTTATCGAATTACTGATGTGGAATGCATCGCACGTGCAAAAACACTTCAGTTACACCTGACAAGAAATAGTGAATGACTAGGCGTGGGAAACAGTGAAGAAGAATTCTTTCTACGTCCTTGCTAAATGCAACTGTTCCATCTGACGATGTCAGCAGTAAATCAGATTGCGAAAACCGTGCAAACAGGAAAGTAAACAGATTGTTGGAAACCGGCTTGGTGGTTCTTGGGTTAGCCACGTCCCATAACGAAGAAACGAAGCAGGTACGTGGAGTTGATCAGACTCCATATCCTAGTCAACTGCATGGAGCTTCGTTGGCGACAGCCATGCAGCGACCCTGTCGCCCCCTGCGTGAAAATAGGAAAATAAATCATGAAGAGTCAAATCAAACAAGTAGTGCACCGAAACAACGAATAGAAGTTTTACATCTATTCAGATGGTCCACACAAACAAACAAACAAACAAACACACAAACACACGCCTCAAACACATTTAGAAAATCCGTAACACGGAAGTATAGAGTCCTAAACTTCCTTCGGTAAAAGATCTCTGTAATTACAAGATCTCTATGAGGGGCTCTTGGCAAGATCTCTATACAAGGTCTCTGTACAAGCGCTCTGTAAGCGATCTGTGCGCAAGATCTCTGTACAGGTCTGTATGTGAGGTCTCTTGGCAAGATCTCTGCACAAGGTCTCCAAAAAGATTTCAACAACAAAAAATACTAAGGCTACGCCACCGCAGCACCCAAATACCACCACGAGACCACCGAAAGACCACCGATACGCCGATACAGACACGACCAAGACCCGGCACCACCCAAGCACCACCCGCAGGCACCATTGAGACAGGCCCCGGCACTTGAGATACCAGCCGTCATGGTAAAGGATAATAAGCCATTCCGGGTCCCGATGGTCCCGATGGCCATCCAAGACGTAGCCTCACATTGTTCCAAGGTGTACATCTCCTTGGCTGAATCTTTTCCATCTTTTCCATCTTTTCCATCTTGTCTTTGAATGTTGGAGTAAGTCAAAGTAAGTCAAAGTATGAAAGTCTTTGGCCATTGCGCGAGGTGAAGGCGCTAGATTCGTTTTTCTTGGAGTTGGTGCGCACGATGGGATGCCAGCGCCAGTGGAGGCCGTTTCACACGGAACCGTTGCTGTTTTCCTTATTTTCCTTGGTTTGGTTACCTTTTGGTTTTCGCTTTCCTGGATTGCTTCATATTGCTTCCCTTTCGAGGTGTTTTGTTGGCCGGTTGTGGGTAATCCCTAATTCGGTGCCGATGCACTCGTCTCGTTTCACTGATGTTATGCCATGCGTACCATACGTGCAACATGTCTGACCAGGGCTTAGAGCTCAACGGCAGTCCCCATGTCTCTGAAAATGCTGGCGCCAGGAGATCATTGCCAATTTCGGTGTTCCTTGCGAGTATCAAGTACTTCATAGTACTTCTAGATGGTTACGACACCTAAATCAGTTTGACTGATAATCACTGATAATCACTGATAATCACTGATAGCTTCCTGCACTCTGAATTGATCCGTTTGGAAGTTAGACATGCTTCTGCTCCACACAAAATTACAGGAGACACGATAGTAGTCACTGATTGCTCCAGTAGCCACTGTTACTCTGATGCCTCTTTGTTATGTGGTCGTGCGTTAATTCACCGGAACAAATGGCACCTGCAAAGGTGACTACAGAGCTGTCTGTTGTTCGAAACATTCTCCAGTGTCTGCAAAAAGTCACACATAGCAATGGAGATGGTGTCAGTGCTAGGATTCTTGGTGTCTGATTGCTTTCAGGCAAGCGAGCAGGAATTTCAGTTGTGTGCCTTATAATGGTGTTCCATGCAGCGAATGCAACATGCAACTAAAGATCCTGTTCTATCTTTTCTTTCTCCAAGTGAGACACCGAAATACCACAGAGACACCAAGACACCAGGAGACGCCGAGACACGACCAATGGGACCAAGACACCTTCGAAATATCACCGATACACCGAGGGACCACGGAGGCACCACCGAGACACTACGCATCCCCAGGACGGCAGCCTTGACCCGGAAGAGTTAACCCCAAGCTATCTCTATTGGGATCTATTGGGAAAAAAGGCAGCAACAACAGCAACAACAACAACAACAGCAGCAACAGCAACAATCACAACAACCACAACAACGAGAACAAGGACGACGACGACGACGACAACAACAACAACAACAACAACCACAACCACAACCACAACCACAACCAAAACAACAACAACCACAACCACAACAACGAGAACAAGGACGACGACGACAACGACGACGAAGACGACGACGACGACAACAACAACAACAACGAGAACAACGAGAACAGGACGACGACGACGACGACGACGCCGACGACGACGACGACGACCACAACAACAACAACAACAACAACAACCACAACCACAACCACAACCACAACAAAAACAACGAGAACAAGGATGACGACGACGACGACGACGACGACGAGAACAACAACAACCACAACAACAACAACAACAACAACAAAAACAACAACAAAAACAACAACAACAACAGCACCAACAACAACAACCACAACCACAACCACAACCAAAACAAGGACAACCACAACAATGAGAACAAGGACGATGACGACGACGACGACGACGACGACAACAACAACAACGACAACAACGAGATCAACGAGAACAAGGACGACGACGACAACAACAGCAACAACAACAACAACAACCACCACCACAACAACGAGAACAACGAGAACAATGAGAACAAGGACGACGACGACGACGACGACGACGACCACAACAACAACAACAACAACAGCAACAACAACAACAACAACAACAACAACCACCACAACAACCACAACCACGACCACAACCACAACCAGAACAACAACCACAACGACAACAACGACAGCAACGACAACAACGACAAGGACAACAGCAACAGCAACAACAACAACAACAACAGCAACAACAACAACAACCACCACAACAACCACAACCACGACCACAACCACAACCACAACCAGAACAACAACCACAACGACAACAACGACAGCAACGACAACAACGACAAGGACAACAGCAACAGCAACGACAACAACAACGACAACAACAACAACAACAACAACGACAACGACAACGACAATGGCAACGACCACAACGACAACAACAACGACAACGGCAACAGCAGCAACAATGGTGTGGTCCAGCACAAGCGCAACCTGTGACATTTATGCTGCGTATGCTGTTTACGCTGCTTATGCTGCTGTTGCTGCTCATGTTCTATGTGTGCTGCTTGTCCTGCTGTTGCTGCTCGTGTTCTGTGTATGCTGCTGATGCTTCTTATGCTGCATAAACTGCTTGTGCTCCCTTTGCTGCTGATGATGTTTATGCTGCTTAAGTTGCATATGCTGCGTATATGCTGCGTATGCTGATTGCTCTGTTTATGTTGCCTTTATGCTGCTCATGCTCTCCGTATGCTGCTGCTGATATTCCTGAACAGGTGTTGCCTGAGTGCCATCGCCGACGTCATCCCAGCCACTCCTGGAATCAACAACTGGCAACAAGATGCAACAAGATGCAACAAAGTCAAGAGATGTCAAGAGAGGGTCATGGCAGGTCTGGCAGGAGCATGAAGAAGATTGAAGAAGTAGCGTCCAGATGTGTCGTTGTTCAAACAAAGTTGAACTAAAATTATTTCTTCTGTTTAGTTTTCTGTTTGTCACTCCCCAGACCTTCTCCGCAAACATGCAAACATATGCAAACAAATTGAGAAACGAACAACATCAATGTTTTTCTCCTCTCACCTGCAGGATGGGCTTCAGATTGTGGTGTCATGATGAGTCACAACTTCTGCATATGCTGCACAATACGTCCAGGTACCCAAAAATGTTCCGATTTCCATCGATTTCCCATATTTGGCACATATTATTAACATATTATCCAATTCTTGGCATTGATTCTCAGTCGTCTTCCTATTCAAAATTGTTTCAAGTTGGTCTCCCTTGGCTTTTGCGGCAGGCCGCGATGCTGTGTCCTTCGCTTTCTGGGTCTCGAGTCTGGCTTGGACAAAGCGGTTTCAACAGCAGCATCTGCATCTGCCTCGATTGTCTCGAAAATTCAACAAACAAAGGGTCTATGACCCGGTCTTTGATCTGATTGCGAGATGTTCTGCTGTACGGTTCAACGTACAGAATCTGTTCAGAATGCAAGGAATCTTGACGAGTCTGTCCTTTCGTCCACGTTGCAAAAACAAAGCTAACTATCCTTGCCTGAGTTTCCTCTGCTGGACCTTGGCACATTCGAAAGCAAAAACAAAGCTAACTACCTGCATAAGACACCTAAGCTCACCTAAGACAATGCATTGTCAAATCTCCGAAAAAATATGAAGACAAACATGTAATTTTGAGCTGCCGACGTTTGCCACCTTCCCCCATAGTTGGGCACTGCCATTCAAGTGGCGACAGCCATAATTGAAATGAGAATTGCATAGAATTGCATTGCATTCATTATGTATCGCCATGATGCATTGCATGATGCAAGCTGATTCTGCTCACTAAGTTCGGCTAAGAGTTGTAAATTTGGCACCATGAAAAACTATGAAAAACTGTGGGAAACTGTGAGAAACTGTGAGAAACTGTGAGAACCGGTTTCTTGAACAAAGAGTGTCTTTTATGCACCGTTCACATCCGTTCACGTTCAGCTGACATTCGTGAACCCAAATATGCAGCTGGATGGTGTGCACACGGTGCTCTGGCGCACATGGCGCCCAGCACACATTGACAATCTCCATGCCTGACATCAGCCTGGCATCAGCCTCATCAGCCTGGCATCAGCCTGACATCAGCCTGACATCCTAGGGCATCAGCAAGTGTTCACATCAGAGTTCGGCACAGTCACAGTCCTGTTTGTTTGTCCAACGCATGCAGCCAAACGAAACTAACTCCTTGAAGTGGCAGAGAAACACAAACTATAACAACTATGTTGTTTGTAAATGATTGTAAATGCAATGAAACGTTTCATCAAATTTAACGAGTTTCCTTTGCGTCACAAACACTTAAAACATCCATGTCTCTGTAGTCTTTATGCCTGAAGCACACAACACCCTTGATGGCCTGTGTTGTTGTTGTTGTTGTTGTTGTTGCTGCTGTGGCGGCTCACAGCAGTAGCTGCAGCCCGGGAACACACCTCCACCGGCAGATCGACAGAGAAGCGCCGATAAAACAAACCAAGCGTCATTGCAAGTCCTCCCTGCCAGTTTCAGGTGGCCCAAACTAGAGGAAAAAAAATGGACCGAGCAGACGGAACCAACAAAGAACCAGCACCGAAGGACAAATGCCCATCACAGCAACCAAGAGGGAAAAGAAACGCAGCAAAGCAGGCAGAAGCCCGAGCGCGCTAACCACAACCACCAAAAGGAAGAAAAGCACCCCAGAGCGGGGGGAAGCCCCAAAGAGCCGAAAGACAAACACCAACCCCAAACCACAGCCACCCAAAGGAGGAAGACGAACACCACAGGGCGGGCAAGAGTCCCAGGGCGCCAAAAGACAAACGCCAATCACAACCACCAAAGGAAGCAGACAGCCCAGGGCGGGCAGAAGCCCCAGAGCATCAATTAACAAAACCGATTCAAACGCCAAACCAGACACATCCCCGGGCAGAAGCCCAGGACACCAAATGAGAAACACCAACAGCAGCGACCGGCAACAAAGGACAATTGCCAACCACAGTGACCAAGAAGAAGAGAGACACAACAGAGGGGCAGAACCGCCAAAACAAAAAACAAAAAGACACCTCACCGCGGGCACCAACACAACCATCCAAGGGAAGAAGACGAACACCCCAGGGCGAGCAGAAGCCCCAGAGCGCCAAAAGACAAACCCCGACCACGAACCACGGCCACTCAGGAAGAAGACGCACACCCGAGGGTGGGCAGAAGCTCCAGAGCGCCAAAAAAGCAAACACCAACTTCAACCAACAAAAGGAACAGAGACACCCCGGCCGAAGCTTCAGAGAGCCACGCACCAGCCACAAGCAGCTGTAGGACCCAGGCCAACGGCAGCCACAAAGAGGAAGAGAAACGCAGCAAAGCAGAGCAGAAGCCCCAGAGCGCCAAAAGACAAACACCAACAAAGCCACGCCAGGAAAGAAGACGAACGCCCCAGGGCGAGCAGAAGCCCCAGAGCCCCAAAAAACTAACGCCAAACACAAACACAACCACCACCACCACCACCACAACAACAACAACAACAAAAACAAAAACAAAAAAAAACAAAACAAAAACAAACAGCCCAGGGCGGGCAGCAGCCCCAGGAAGCCCAGAGCACCAAACAACAAAGACCAGGCACAACCACCAAAAGGGCGGGCAGAAGCCACAGGGCACCAACAGAGGAACAGCAGCGACCGGCATCAAGGGACAAAAAACAACCGCAGCCGCCAACAGGAATAGAAGCAAAACAGGGGGCAGAACCTCAAAAACGAAAGACACACCCGGGCGAGCAGAAGCCCCAGAGCGCCAAAAGACAAACACGGACCACAACCGACAACCACAACCAGCAACAAACACAAACCGCGGCGGATGAAAGCCCCAAAGCGCGAAACGCGACACAAGCGGCAACACCGAACGCCAAGAGCAATCAAACGCTCCGCTGCGCAAACGCGGCACTCTCACTCTTGCACCGGCTTGGGAGAGGGGATGGGGGGTGCTCGTCGGGAACAAATCCTTAGCGCCGCCCCCAGGGCCCACCCCATCCCATGAAATTTCACCCGGCCAAACAGTGCAAGACCCGGGGGCGATGGCCTCTGGATGTCTCTGGGGTAGTCTGAAACGATTCCACAACTCCAATTTCAGACCGAACTGCACTCGCAAAGTCAAGTTCAAATCTGCCAGACGCCACTGCAGAGACTTGGTAAGTCAACGGGGTCGCAATTTGCAAAGTTTCCCAAGGTCAATGGAATCAACTTGCAACGTCGATCGGCCCTTGAAGCGTGGGTCGCCAGAGGGGTCAACGAGGATCGCGACGATCGTAGTTCTCACCGACTGACGATCGGTCTTTCTTCACTTTCACATTTTTCACTTCACACGTTAACAAAGGACAGAGTGAAATGTGCAAATGCAAATTTTAGTTAGAAATTCCTTTTCCATACGCACACACACCAAAAAAAAAAAGCTTCGGTGGTATCCCCAACAGTCGCATCGTTTTATTTTACAAATCTTTCTGAAGCGTGCTGCGAAGCCAAACGCTGGAAACCCTGTTGACCGTGTTGAACCTGACCTGGCCCTGCACCTGCAACCTTCTCCGGACCCCGTTGAACCTGACTTGGCTTTGCACCATGGACCTTCTCCGGACCCTGTTGAACCTGACCTGGCTCTGCACTAAACCCTATACCTTTCTCCGGAACCTTCTCCGGAACCTTCCGGAGACCTGAACCTGCGCTGGCTCTGTACCAAAGCCTCCCAGACCTTCTCCGGCCTTCTCCGAAACCCGATTGAACCTGACCCAGCTCTGCAACAAAACCTCCCTAGCCTTCTCCGGAACCTTCTCCAGAACCCTGTTGAACCTGCGCTGGCTCTGTACCAAAGCCTCCCAGACCTTCTCCGGCCTTCTCCGAAACCCGATTCAACCTGACCCAGCTCTGCACCAAAACCTCCCTAGCCTTCTCCGGAACCTTCTTGGGAACCCTGTTGAACCTGACCTGGCTCTGCACCAAAGCCTCCCCGACCTCTCCGGAACCTTTTCTGGAACCTTCTCCGGAACCCTCTTGAACCTGATGTGGCTCCAAAGCCTCCTGGAATCTTCTCTGCATGGAACCTTCTCCGAAACCCTGTCGAACTTGACCTGGCTCTGCACCAAAGCCTCCCAAACCTTCTCCGGCCTTCTCCAGAACCCTGTTGAAGCTGACCCGGCTCTGCACCAAAGCCTCCCTGAACCTTCTCCGGAACCTTCTTGGGAAGCCTGTTGAACCTATAGCCGGGCTCTACACCGAAGCCTCCCAGCCTGACCGGGCTCTGCACCAAAGCCTCCCAGACCTTCACCGGAACCTTATTCCTCCATAAAACCAGGATCGTTTGGACTAAAATAGCTTGGTGGTGGAAGTTTCTAGAAAGTGGTATTCCACTTAAAAAGGTTGTGTATCTATATGTCACTATATGTGTATACAGTATTCAAATACATCTATTTGCCACATATATCCATATCAACTACCAAACCTTCAAAAAGAAATAAAAACGTCTGCAGCAAACAACGACAACGACGACACTCGCACGCTGAAATCCCTCGGTCTTTAAATTGATTTCCTTTCTGTCTTCCATTAATTGCACAGTCGGGGAAGTTCCAGAGCCGGTCTTGGTTCCAGCGAGGTTTTGGTGTTTGGTGCATTTAATGGCTCGCGCTGCCATTTCAAGTGTTTGACTTCGTTGCATGGTTACGAGTCTGCGCACCCGATCACTCCCATTTTTGTTTGGGTGGGAGTCCATAACGGGGTGGGTGAACGAAAATGGGCCCTTATTTTAAAGGGCTTCCCACCCTCCCACCTCTTGAATGGGAAAAGCAACGACACAACAAATATTGAAGTGGTCCTGATTTCATTTGTCGTGTTTTGACTTTTGACCGTTTCGAGATGTTTGAAACATGTTGGATTTGATATGTTTTGTCTTGACGTTTCGATGTGTTTGAAACATTCCAAGACATTTGATTAAAAAGCAAGATGCAGCCGACGCAACCGAATGCTCACACGTATGTTAATGGTCGAAGGAAGTTTTGAAGTCAAACTTCCGACAATATGGACAGATGAAAAGGAGAGGAGGGAAGAGGCAGAGAGAAGAGAAAGATTAGAAGAAAGAAGAGTAGAAGAAAGAAGATGCAGATGCGCAAAAGGGTAGGAAAGTCGCGAAACACTGTGTTTTTCCAATGATTTGGGGCTCCGCAGGGTCGAAAAGTAGGCTCGCTAAAGCGGCGGGTGCGGAGCCAGATGGCCAGATGAGAGATGAAAAATTGCACGCCGTTGTGGCGCGAAGCACATTTCGAAGTGAAAAGGTGCAAAACACCTCAGCGTTGGACCACTTTTGGAAGTTGAGATGTCGAAAAATTGCACGCCGTTGTGGCGCGAATCACATTTCCAAGTCAAAATGTACAAAACACCACAGCGTCGGACCACTTTTGGAAGTTGAGATGTCGAAAAAGTGCACGCAGTTGTGGCGCGAAGCACATTTCCAAGTCAAAATGTACAAAACACCACATGTTCGCGCCACTTTTGGAGGTACGCCGTTGTGGCGCGAAGCACATTTCGAAGTCAAAATGTTAAAAACACCAGGGTTTCGGACCATTTTTGGAGGTTCAGATGTCGCTTCGCTTCAGTACACTACATTACACTACACTACACTACCTTCCACTACACTCCACTACAATACACTCCACTACACTAAATTACACTACACTACATTACACTACACTACACTCCACTACGCTA